TGAAATTTCCACCTTCTCTTCCTCGGATTTTTCCTCTATTTCTAAAGTAAAGAATGGTTTTATTTTTTTTAGAGTTATGGCAAATGTATATTGTGGTTGGAAAGAAGAACATGGTTATTTTAGTCTCTTAATAGGTAGGAAGACCAATGCTGATTGTAAAAAAAGAGTAGAAATAACTGGTAAGTCTAATTATTGTGAAGAACATGGCTGTCGTGTCTGCGATTATGTAAATCTAAAGGGGGAGTTTCAAAATTCTCCAAAAGATTATCTCAAACTTAATTTTGGAAAAAAAGAAGGAGTTTGTTCGGAAAAATGCCAAAAAAGAGGCGAAACAGACCATTATTGAGAAGAAGAAGATAAAAAAACACGAGAACAAGCAGATTTATGAATAAAAATTACTAAATTAAATGAGGAGTTAGACACTGAAATAAAAAATATCTTCCTTCCCCTTTATAATGTTGTTGGCGGAAACAGCATTAATAATTTGAAAGGACAGTTAATTAAAAAGGAAATAGATTCTGAAAAATTTGTTGAGAATTGCCAAAAAATTATTGACAGTTATTCCTTAGCCAATGAAGAAAAAGGTCAGTGGAAAAAAATATATAAAACAAACAATTCAGCAAATTTACAGGAAAAATTATTAAGTTTCGCCCAACAAGAAAGGGATTATCTAGTCAGTTTAGCCAAAAAGTATAGGGACTTACAAGAACAAAAAAACACTCCCGAATGTAAAAAGTGTAAATTACGGCGAGAACAACCTAGTACTTGACCAGTCGGCTGTGAGGGCTGATGTAAAGAATGTGTGGAACAAAACCAAAGAGAAAAACAAGCGCCAAATAACAATGATAACTACCAGCCTCCCATTAATAATTTTCCTCCAACAGACAATCAGGAAAATTTTCCCTATCCCCAAAATAATTCTAATGAGTCTACAAACTCCCAAATTGATAGTGATAAACAGAGAGAGAGAGAGAGAGAGAGAGAGAGAGAGAGAGAGAGCAAACCACCCACGGGGGGAACCTCCCACCACCAGAAAAGCAGAACAATCTCCAACCAGAAGTGAAAAAAAACCGACCGCACTCCCATCTATTTGGTATCAGGAACAGTTGGAATAGTAATTGTGGCAGCAGGAATAAGTCTTGTCATAAAAGCAAATAAGAAAAGGAGAAACAGAAGCCGTTATCAAAAATAAATTATATATGCCCATTGAACGAACTCTTTCCATTATCAAACCTGATATCATTAAAAAAAACCAAATTGGCGAAATTATTAATTTCTGAGAAAAAAAAGGTCTAAGAATAGCCGGAATGAAAATGGTCCATTTAACCCCCCAATTAGCCAAAACTTTTTATCAAGAACATAATACTAAGGCGTTTTTTAAAGGAATGACTGAATTTATGAGTAGTTCGCCAGTAGTGGTAATTTGTCTAGAAGGTGAAAATGCGATAAAGTTTAATCGCGAAATTATGGGGGCCACTGACCCCCAACAAGCCCAAGAGGGAACGATTCGAAAGATTTATGGAAAAAGTATTGATAATGCTAATGCGGTCCATGGCTCAGATAGTGCTAAAGCCGCCGCAAGGGAAATAGAATTATTTTTTAAAGAGGAGGAAATTTTTTCTTAATTTTACAAGAAAGTAAGAGATTGTTGATTCTAAGTAGTTAGTTAGTTTTTTTTGCAATAAACATAATCAAACTACCAAATAATAAACAAACTACACCAACTACAAAAAGAGTGCCTAAACCATAACTGCCGTGGTGGTTAACTTGATTTTTTTGCTGATTTAGTTGGGTTCATAAACTTTAATTTCCTCCTGCTTAGTTTTTAACTTTTCTCTTAACTGTTCCAAAGTTAGGTTATTGTTCTCTCTTGTTCTTCTTTTTTATCTTCCTCTTTATCATTGGGTAAGTTGGGTTTTTGGCCCAATTGTTCCTTCAAAGAGATTATTTCCTGGTTGGCTTTATCCAATTCTTCCTTAGTTTGATTTAGTTCCGCATTATTTGGGGTATCACAGCGATGGTCAAGGATTTGCTGTTGCTTATTCTTCAATTGTTGGTCTAACTTGTCTTTGGCGGTAGTTAAATCACTGATTTTTTTTTGTATTTTTCTTTCTCAGTTGGTTAGGTCGTTTCCGATTATGGCTTTGACTTTATCTTGGAATTCTTTAACCTCATTTTCATAAGTTTCACTTGAAGATTTTGAAACACTATATTCAGATTTTAAAACCTCTATTGCCGTTACTAATGTTTTTGTATCTTCGGTCATTGCTTCATTTAATTCTTTTTCTTCACTTGTAGCTAAATTTGAAGTGCCAAGCATGGCTTTACTTGCTGCTTCTTTTCTAAATTTACGACCTAGTTCATTCAAAGTTTGACAAGTGCTGGCTTTATTAATTTCATCTTCTCAATTAGGAATAGAAAACTCCTCTCCTTCCGGAAAATGTCAAAGTCTTCGTGCCTCTTCAATTGTTTTAATTCAAAATTGTTTAGCATGTTCTCACACCATATTTATTTATTATAACACTTTTTACTCTCTTTGGTTTATCCTCTAAAGTAATTTTATGAGTTGAGAGCAAAGACAAAGCAAAAAACTTGGTGGGAAATTTTGTTGGCAACCTACTTTTCTTAGTTGACAACCACCAAGCCGCAGAAATTACTAAATAATCATGGCAACTATCGAATTAAAATTCTCTGGCACTTTTGCCAAAACTGATTATTTAAAGGAATTTTCCTGCGCTTATTGTCAGCAATTTATTACGGAGTATGATATTTTAAAGGATAATTATCGCCTTTATGTAAGCGACTACGCTAACGAGGTTGATAAAGAGGAATATTTTTCCCAGCGGTTAGGACGCCACCTAACCACTTACTGACTAAACTTCTGATTGAAGGCAGTGGGACACTTGGAATGTCCAGAGGAAGGAGAGTAATTTCCCCTTTCTTTTTCTTATTTCGCACATCTGCGTTTGTGCTTAATTAAGTTTATTCACTAACCCGTAAAAGCGTTATTTGGATTGGTTTTTCTAACTTAATTTACTTAGTTCTTTGGTTTATTTTCAATAGAAACTGAAATTTCCACCTTCTCTTCCTCGGATTTTTCCTCTATTTCTAAAGTAAAGAATGGTTTTATTTTTTTTAGAGTTA